TAATACATCTGTGCGATTAGAACTATTTGTACCAATTGTTTTTGTTTAGCTTTTAGATTTCTCAATACGCTATGATCCTATCACTTGTCAATAAAAGGTTAACAAAGCTTATAACAACTCACTCTGTCTGTCTGGTAAAAAGTTGGTACACGTCATTTCTCCCACATTCAAATCGGAAGATGCTGAAATTTTGCACTTATTTCTTTTACCTGACAACATACGAAACAATAAAAATAAAAACCAAAGTTAATTAACTATTGGTAATAAATTACTTTGTTTGGTATCTCGAACAAAGGAAAGAGTTTGTATTTGAGGTGGCATAAGCTGAATTAGTCCCCTTTATGGATTGTCGTCTGAGTCTTAGTGAACACAACATGAAATATATGTCTATGAGTTTATCCAATCTTACTGGTCTGACATCGTCGTTGTCAAAGGTAGAGAGCTTTGTAAAAATACTTTTTAGTGTTATATCCAGTGCTTTTTTTTTGTAAAAAAAAAAATAGGTGCCGGTACTCGGTGATGGATTGCCTAACTTTAAACTACCGTACTAATAAATGAATAATAAACGTTAAGATATAAGATATAAGAAAAGTAATAATTTTCTCCCCATATTGAAAAAGGTGCCGGTACGCCGTACAGGTGCATACCGTCACAAAAAAAAAGCACTGGTTATATCAATGGCGGACTGTAATTCTATTTCTTCATATTTCACATAATCTGACATACAGTAATTCTTTTAACGTATTGCTTCTTACAAAACACACATATTTTGTTAATGAAAGTAGAGAATCTTCAGATTTCTATCCTACTCATTTCTCAGCCCTGTTACTCCCTCGATACACACACACACATACACACTCGCTTTTGTTTTAAAATGACATCTAGTCTACTCACACAATCTATGTCCGGACTCGCTTCACTCAACACAACATCAGCTGTTTTTTGCCCAGTGTAGCATGTGTATGGTATTGTCTACTAATGGGAATGTCTATAATGTCCAAGTTGACAAGAGTCGAGAAGACTTTAGCTTCTAGATCTACATTTACAGCTGCGCAGGTTAGTCACTTTTGATAAACTCTTTTTTCTTTTTACTCCTCTTCAGGCCTTTTCCCTGCAGTTACTATTTCGTTCACTCTCCCCCCCCCCCTTTTATTCTACAGACTTTCCTCGACAATTATTGTTGATATAAATAAAATATTCCGTAGGCCTGTATCTTCAGAAGTGCATACAAATATTCCACATTATTACAGCTTTTAGTCACCATCACCTTCAACATTTTAACAAAACTGTTTCTTTAAGCATCACCTTCAACATTTTAACAAAGCTGTTTCTTTAAGCATCACCTTCAACATTTTAACAAAACTGTTTCTTTAAGCATCACCTTCAACATTTTAACAAAACTGTTTCTTTAAGCATCACCTTCAACATTTTAACACAACTGTTTCTTTAAGCATCACCTTCAACATTTTAACACAACTGTTTCTTTAAGCATCACCTTCAACATTTTAACACAACTGTTTCTTTAAGCATCACCTTCAACATTTTAACACAACTGTTTCTTTAAGCATCACCTTCAACATTTTAACACAACTGTTTCTTTAAGCATCACCTTCAACATTTTAACAAAACTGTTTCTTTAAGCATCACCTTCAACATTTTAACACAACTGTTTCTTTAAGCATCACCTTCAACATTTTAACACAACTGTTTCTTTAAGCATCACCTTCAACATTTTAACACAACTGTTTCTTTAAGCATCACCTTCAACATTTTAACACAACTGTTTCTTTAAGCATCACCTTCAACATTTTAACACAACTGTTTCTTTAAGCATCACCTTCAACATTTTAACACAACTGTTTCTTTAAGCATCACCTTCAACATTTTAACACAACTGTTTCTTTAAGCATCACCTTCAACATTTTAACACAACTGTTTCTTTAAGCATCACCTTCAACATTTTAACACAACTGTTTCTTTAAGCATCACCTTCAACATTTTAACACAACTGTTTCTTTAAGCATCACCTTCAACATTTTAACACAACTGTTTCTTTAAGCATCACCTTCAACATTTTAACACAACTGTTTCTTTAAGCATCACCTTCAACATTTTAACACAACTGTTTCTTTAAGCATCACCTTCAACATTTTAACACAACTGTTTCTTTAAGCATCACCTTCAACATTTTAACACAACTGTTTCTTTAAGCATCACCTTCAACATTTTAACACAACTGTTTCTTTAAGCATCACCTTCAACATTTTAACAAAACTGTTTCTTTAAGCATCACCTTCAACATTTTAACAAAACTGTTTCTTTAAGCATCACCTTCAACATTTTAACAAAACTGTTTCTTTAAGCATCACCTTCAACATTTTAACAAAACTGTTTCTTTAAGCATCACCTTCAACATTTTAACAAAACTGTTTCTTTAAGCTAGGTTGTTTCTAGTGTCTTCTTAAATTCTCTTCTTTTATCGTTTTGTTTCAATTGTCTGCTTATAGTGTCTGTTAATACTTCGCTGCAAGTACTTGTTAGCTTCATTTCATTTTGGTTTTATAAAGTCTGTAAAGTTCAAATAGACAAATACTAAAACCAAAAACTTGCGGTTTGATATTGACAAATGAACATTGACAAAGTCAAACATGTTTTGAAAGCAAAAACGTTGACACAGTCAGACACAGTGGCGTAGCTAGGGATTTGGGACCCAGAAGCTTGACCTCTTTAGGGGCCGTTGCATTTTGACATTCGACATCATGACATAAGATAATGGCGTAATATTTAATGTAAAAACAATTTTGGGACACTCATTTGGGGGTCCCCCTCCCCACACCTTAGATACGCCACTGTTCAAATATGTTTTCAAAACAATAACTTAACAATGACACAAGCAAACAATAAATAATCTAAAATGCATTAGCTAGTTCATAAAATGTGATACATTACATGCATTTCCGTTATAAAACAAACAAACATGATCATTGGCTTGAACTGTAATCAACCACCAAATGAAAATGTTTCAGTTCGATCGAATAAAACAGTAACACCTTGTTCACTTCCTCTATTGATCCTACCAGCTGCTGCCTCCACGTTGTGACCTGCTGCCTCCAGGCCTGCTTGCTTGACTGAAAGTTGTTCCTTTGTCTAGATGGGCCGAAATTCTGTTACCACGAGAGAATGATTAGTTACTAAAACGCTATCGATAATTAAATTTAACTTCAACATGGCTGGTTTTAGCTCTTTGCGACATGTTCAACTGACCTGAGTCCTGGCTGAGACTATGAGAAAGAAGGAGGGGATATGAAGGGATAAAAGATGCCACTCTACCTGCTATGGTATCAATCAGCTGTTCCATGAGATGGACCTGTCTTTTATTTTCTCTATTTTGTCCCCCAAGCCACATGGTAACAGCTGGAGGGAACTGCTTCTCTGCAATACTATTGAAAGGATTCATAATTTTACGACAGTGTGTTAGATACAGATATGTCAATATTTCTTACACTGGTGGAGGGGCTAACAAATTGTAATTTATATTTTTTTATAGAACGTAATTAAAACGCGTGTATACAGGAAGAGCTCCAGCACAAAGTAAAACTATTCCCTGTAATACCTGATTGTTGGGTTCAAATCCTAAACATACCTATTCTAATCAGACATAGATTTGTAAGTTTGATTTTGTGGATGTTATCGTCTCGAAAGCAGGCCCGGCGTGGTGGCCGAGTGGTCACGTTCTTGGCTCCCGAACCGAGGGGTCTCTAGTTCAAATCCCGGTGAAGACTCGGATTTTTTATTTCCGATTTTTTAGGGAGCCCTTGGGTCCAACCAACTCAGACATTAGTTTTGGGAAAGTAAAGGTGGTTGGTTGTTGTGCTATGGTTAGGTGTGATAACCTAGTTGACCGTAAGCCAAAGAAACAGATGATCTGCCCTATTGATCGCAAGGTCTGAAAGGTGCACTTTACTTTACTTGTCTAAGTATTTTATTGCACGGTGTGAAAAATAAAAGATTTGTTGGACCGTTGGGGCACCACACAAGATATCTCAACAGTCTTTCTCCATTCCACTCAGTATTTGGCTTTTGATATAATTTCATTCACTGACACGCCTGTCCATTCTTTGATGTTGTCGTCCCATCATTTTCTCTGTCTTCCTCATCCTCTTTTTCTGGTACTGTTTCCGAAGGAAGATCTTTGCGTGAGGCCCTAGAGTTTGAGTTTACGTTTTTTGACAGTGGTTAGCAGGTCATCGTGAGTTACAAATCCGATTGCTGTATGAATCCTGTTTCTGTCTCTTCATTCGTGTTGCTGTCTCTCAAAGTGACACCTTAGAATTAATTATATCTTCATGACTATCTCATTGAATACTATGAATTTAACAATGTAATAATAATAACATTGATAAATTTGTCTGAGAGGACCACTTCGGGGGCCGATTTTGAGTTTGTGTTTCCACACAAACTTTCTTTGTAACCTTGTCCAATTACAAAAACAGTTTGAACAAAATACACAGCACTAAGGTTATCGTCTTTTGTTTGAGTATCGTCAGAGTCTGACCGCTTCTGCAATGCTTCCTACTATGTTTACCTATACTGGTCATTCAAGAAGTAATTGCTGTTCTTACTATGTTTACCTATACTGGCTAGTCAAGAAGTAATTGCTGTTCTTACTATGTTTACCTATACTGGCCAGTCAAGAAGTAATTGATGTTCTTACTATGTTTATCTATACTGGCCAGTCAAGAAGTAGTTGATGTTCTTACTATGTTTACCTATACTGGCCAGTCAAGAAGTAATTGATGTTCCTACTATGTTTACCTATACTGGCCAGTCAAGAAGTAATTGATGTTCCTACTATGTTTACCTATACTGGCCAGTCAAGAAGTAATTGATGTTCCTACTATGTTTACCTATACTGGCCAGTCAAGAAGTAATTGATGTTCCTACTATGTTTACCTATACTGGCCAGTCAAGAAGTAATTACTATTTTGTCTTTCTCAGCATTGTGACCGTTATAATGGGCATTGCTGGTCTCCCTTGTTGTCAATGCTCTTTTAACGATCATAAAGTTGCGAAGGCGAAATCTTCAAAGAATGGTTCGGAAACAAAAAGTAGAACTCGTGACTAGCAGGCGTCAAACCCCACAATCACAGAGTTAAACTAGATAAACCTGAAACTGATGACACAATTAATAATATTAAAAGCGAGGTCGACTCTAGTTAACTAGCACAACGTACCCTAACCTTCAACCACTTTCTCTTTTTCTTTCCAGATATTTACTGTATGAATGAATAAGAGTGTATTTACTCATTGCTACACACACTGTATTGACATTCTTTTTAACTTAATTTAAAATTTTCACGTTCAATTTAGGTTCGAAAATTTTCAAACATTTTTGAAAGTGGAATTCCGATGTTTTTGGAAAAAAAAAAGTATTTTATTATATTATAATTTTTAACTAACGCAAAGTTGTTGCCCTTTATACATGAAATTTTTTTTTTAATGTTCGAGCTATGACAATAGAAGGACACATGCACAAAGTTTTTTCTCAGAAATATTAATGCTATTACATTATTATTAGATAAAGTAACTTATAGTCGTTCTCTGGTACTGCCAGGATGGATAGTCGTCCGCTTAACAGTTTCCTCTCAGCAATACCGCCCTCTACTTGTTCTGGGGTTTAAAGTTGTCACAAATCCTTCGGCTGAAAATCACAATTTGCTATAGTGCGGTTTAATTGAGCTTTCGTGGTCCTTGTATTTCCAAGCTGAACTTTCTTATAATTTCTTATATTTTCTTTTGTTTAAAATCATTTTAAGTTTCTTTTTTTTTTTTTGGTAAATGTTAAGAGATTGATACTTTAGAGTGAATGAACAGTAAATTTGGTCCATTGAATTGTCTTGTCAGTTCTTTATCCCAGTACTGGCAGTAGACTAACTGATTGGTTAATTCGAGAATCAAGTGTGGTGACTATTTGTAGTGAAGTGTTGATTCTCAAATTGTACTTATCTTCTCCCCCCATTCTACTTTCTATACACTCAAAAAGGTTCTTAATCTTCACATTTGGGCACCTCAACGTGCATTAACCATGTTTAAAACACGCATATACACACTCAGTCCCCCTCACCTATCATTGCACACACATACATAAATACACACACACTATATCCCAACCTGCTCACCTTTCAAGTAACCATTAAAGACTCAATCCCAAAAGCCCAACTCATGAGATGTGAACTCATCAATATGGAAACACTAGGTAACAGCTGCCGAGGGGTGGGGTAGGGGAGACAACCGTATAAATTCTACTCAGATAAGGGGACACTATCTAGTTCTTTTCACTCCAGTGTTGTTTTTTTCTCCACACGGTTTTCATTAAATTTTACACACATCTCTGCAAGATGAAAGATACATTATGAATAACATTGAAACTTTTTAACTACATGGTGTTCTCAGCTCCAGCTAGTTATTTACTTGTATGTGATAGAAGTCTTGTCATTACGTCACTCTGAGCGGGATGCTACTAACAACACTTCTGGTGCTTATGACCTTTGGTCATTTATTACAGCCAAGTGCCAGAGACATTGCTTCCACATGTTGTTTTGCTCACATCTAAAGAACTTTTTAAAACAACTGCCAACTATTAAATCAATCATTGATGTGCTTACGTTATGTGAATGGCGTCATCTGTTCAATGCGGTAAGTCATCAATTTTGTCATTAGTTAGATCAAATTTAAAGATTTTTATGTACTTATCCACGAATCCTGGTGAAGACTGGGATTTTTAATTTCGGTATTGCCACTGAGTCCAGCCAGCTCTAATGGGTACTTGGGTAAAAGTAAAGGCAACTGCTCGTTGTGCTGCCCACACGACACCCTCGTTAACCCTGGGCCATAGAAAGTTCGTTGAAACCATCAGAACTTTTTTTTGTGTTTTATAAGATAAGCTGTTCTTCATTTGTTTTCAAACGGTTCAACATCTCACTATCTACTTATAATTGTACTCAATTCAAACGTGTCGCGATTAAAGGTTGGAAATTGAAGATATAGCAGTGATATAAATATTAGGATTTCTTTCTGGTTCGATTTCAGCATGTAGTTGTCTTTTGTTTAAAAGTTCAATTTAAATAAAAAATATTAATTTGAGATGACCATATTTTATACATAAATATTTATTTTGTTGTAAACATAAAACTTTTAAAAAAAATCTTTTTGTACAACGTGTAGGCGATAGTAGTGCAGCATAAGATAGGCGATAGTAGTGCAGTATAAGATAGGCGATAGTAGTGCAGTATAAGGTAGGCGATAGTAGTGCAGTATAAGATAGGCGATAGTAGTGCAGTATAAGATCCTTCATTCTTGTTAGGACACAAATGTACTCAAAACCTGATACTCAGGGCTACGTTACAAGGGTATAGCCTCTAGTAAAGATGAAAATCTATTTAAAAAGCTTATAGTTAATATAGGCTAAATAAATAGCGGGGTGGGGGGTGGGGCAGTCACCTAAAATTTCGTATTCTCATTTGACCTTTGACTTGACTAGATTTAAATATAGTCCCTTTAGTCATCCTCTAGCTACCGAAAATTACAGCCCAACCAGGTGGTCAATCTTATTAGTTTCTTTTTTCGCAATTGGTCATGTGTAGCTCATCACGCCCTAGACACGGGGAGTGCCAGAGATCTCAAACAAGAATCTTTTCATATTGACACATTCATTTATAAGTTGTTAAAGTTTTTCTTCTGTTCAGATATTTGTCTATGTTTAATTGTTTATGAACATTGTTTGTGTCTCAGAACATACGATGTCAAGGATGTATTCGTTTTAAAGCTTTTCATTTCTGATAGTTATTGCATCATTTGAAAACAAAGTTTACATTCATAAGTTAATCTAAGAAACAAATCTTTATTCTTTGAGAATGTCGTAATTAACAAGGTTCATATCAAAAGAGTTACATTATTTATAGATATTTTTTTTACCATTCTACAACCCAGTTCTGTTACAATGTACTATTTATGATTTTATTTGTTTAAAGTAGCACCAGCCTCTGCCATGTTACGGAAGTGACGTATAAACGAATGAACATTTACCGAGTTCTTTCTGTTATTCTAAGCCTAAAAAAATATGTGGGTTTGAATAACATCATTTATACTTAATTATTTTAATAGACTAGCCAAAAACACAAAGACTCTATACAATAATTGATTCGACTTAATTTTCACAGAGTTAAATCGTCTCCATGTTTTTATGGTTTGTATAGAAATAGAATCAACAAGGCTGCAGAAAAAAAGGATGGGGGGAAAGGAATTCCCTGAAACGCTAAAATTTAGCCCAAGTCTTGATATGGACTATATCCTTACATCTGACACCTAAATAAGCTAATGAATAGGATGGGGTAGCGGTTAAGTAAGAATCTAGGTGTGTGTGTGTATGTGTGTGTTGTGTTGCATTTGGGTGCGCGGGAAGAGCACAAGACAACAAAGAACCAATGTGAGTACAACATGTCTGCAGCACGTGCAATGAGGGATTTAATACTGGCGGGGAGGGGGGGGGCTAGACGCTTACTTCACCCTACCCCCAACCTCCTTTTTTTCACAAAGGTCGTTAGTGTCGGTGACAGGTTGGACTGAGATAGAACTATAGTGATAGGAAGACTACTAAATGTGTATGCTAGAAGGGGGAAGTGGGGGTGAAAGACGGAATGGGGGGATGATTGTTTTAATGACACGACACCGTTAAGTTGGACCCCCCCCCCTCTTTACCCTCTCTCTCTCTCTTCCTCCCTCTCCAATTTTCTTAACACAGGCCCATAAATCCAACATATAAATGTTATACATTGGATATAAGCTAGCTATTGATTTATAACACCCTCAAGATTATCTATATTCTATTTACAAAGCTTATATCAGCTCACTCTGACTGTCTATCTGTCTGTCTGCCTGGTAAAAATTTGATTTCTTCCACACCCAATCTCGGATCAACCTGGAATTTAGCACAATTATTTTTTTTACCTGACAACACAAGAATAAATTAAAAAAAAAAAAATCAATTAGTTAATTAACTTTTGGTAGTTGAATTATTTTGTTTGGTATCTCGAACAAGGGAAAGAAATTGTTATTGACTGAAGTGGTGGTATAAGATGAATTATTCCCCTTTATGGGTCATCGTTTGATTCTTAGTCAACACAAACTTGAAAATAGGACGAGACTATAGAAACAATAGATAACTTTACAATCTTACATGTTCATAAAATCTCCACTAGCAGAGTGGATACCGAGTTGGCTTGAGAAGCCTGGGAAAGCTTGAGCCATGAGTTCCAATTCAGGTCTATTCACCCTTTTTTATTTTGATAAATGTTGTTTTTCTCATTCTTGATTTATTACAAGTTTTACTACATGAATGATCTAAACTTATTGATACAAGTACTCTTAGTATGAGCGTTGTTTTTTACAAAAGTTTTTATTTTTTTATTTTCTTGTTTGTTGAATTAAATGTGGAAATGTATTAATTGTTAGGTAAAAAACATATTTTAATCATAAATATTTCCATCTGTAAATGTCAACACAAAAAAATCTACAATAAAATATGTAAAATACAAAGAATTAAACATTCAAAGATATTGAGCCGACCATTTACATTATTTATGTAGCTATCATTCAATGAAATCTATTACAATTTCCCTATTCTATCATTAAGAAATGGTGAAATTCTGTGATGTAAAAAATGAATATCACATTGCTAGCCATAATACAACATATAAGCTGCCCGTTTGGACTAGAATAGTTTGTTTTTTTTAGTCTTTTCAGCACTCGTAAGTTTACAAAGTTTACCAGCAGTTCGATTAAGTACCTGGCATATTGGTGGATTAGTAGTTACTAGTTACCAAGAATATAGAACAAACTTGACAACAGAGAAAATTTATATCTACTTGTAATTTAAACCAAACTCATTTACCAAAACCTTAATGCTTATGTCTTTATTAAATTTTCAAATATAACTTTGGCATTTCCACTAGCTTTAGAATAATTGGACTGGCTTAATTTATATGTTACAAAAAAGGGTTTCATGAAA